ACCCACGCACCACACCATCAAGTGTATTATCTGTACCAATCAGTTTCACATGTGATCCGTGGTCCATCGGTACCCAAAAAGAAATGGAAAAAACATGCCAGCACGAGTGTGAGTCTGCGGGTGAGCGAGCGAGCGAGCGAGCAAGAGAGAGAGAGAGAGAGAGAGAGAGAGAGAGAGAGAGAGAGAAAGATTCATGAATATTGTAGTAATGAATATGTAATTATTATTTTATAGTGCATATATTGTAATATTATGGAATTTATTTCTATTGTAAATCTGATAATTGGATAAATAAGAATTGTATTATTAAAAAAAAATGTATTCATTCTCATCCTGAAATTCACAATAAAAATAAGATACAAATTGATGAAACCAACTAATTGATTGAAGACTGTTTAAGTCATGGCTACGCCGGACCCGGACCCGGACCCGGACATTTCCGGACACCAAACTGGGCACGTGTCCGGAAGCATCCGGACGTCCGGAAATCCGGACATGATCCGGACACCGGACATGAGTGGGTCCAGACGGTCCAGATGCATGGTGAGGTCCGAAAAAAAAGAAATCGGATATTCCCCCCCCCCCCCCAGGTCGTGGTGTCTTTTGGTGACCTGATGCATTTGCCATCGCGGCTTACATAGAACTTGGGCACCTTCAAGGTTCAATAACAGACGAAGCTGATCAACAGACAAAACAAAAAAAAAAACAAAATTTGGAATCAATAAAAGAACTTTAAGAAAGTTAAGAAACGAACTTCAAAAACATACATGCCTCCAAGCCGCTTTGACATGGTACCTGCAACCACACAGTTCAACAAGTGACAACAACATACAAGCAGAACTACAAAAACATTCAAAAACATCACTTCTGTGACTTCTCACAGAACTGCAGAGAACAGTCCAAAAGACGTCCATATTCCATATGAGTCCATAGCAAAATGTGTTCACATAACTTACTCAAGTTACTCTCTCTCTCTCTCTCTCTCTCTCTCTCTCTCTCTCTCTACTCTCTGCGCTTTTTTTTAGCAAGGGGCTCTTCTTCAGAATCAGCTTCAGAATCAGCGGCTGATGATTCTGATGATTCTGAAGATTCTTTTGTGCTCCATTCCTCCCCCTCTTTCAATCTCTCCTCGTTTCCCACTTTGGTGCTGTCCTTCTGAGACGATTCCCCCTCTTCCCCAGTCTCCCTTGCGTCCACCTGCACCTCCTCTTCCCGCAGCACCTTCCTTGGTCGCCCCCTGGATCTTTTCCCAGGCCCCTTTGCTGCAACCTCGAGACCAGCATCCTGTTTGCTTCCCCTCTCGGATGCCTCTGCATCTCTGGGCGCCTGCTCCCCGTCTGCCTCCGTGCCCTGCACATGTGCCACCTTACGTGGTCGCCCCCTCTTTGCAGGCGCCTTCACATTGGGTGCGCACGCTTGAGCTCTTGCATTGATGTACTTCTCCGCGTGCTCGGTTGTCATAGTCTTGCGTGCATGCTGAGATTCCTGCAAATGCAAGCGGGCGAGGTACTTGGAAGGCCGTATGGCCTTCCTCCATGAAGGTAGCTCCTTGTTAAGCTCCCTTTCGAGCTCAAGCAAGCTGCTGGTGGCCCGCTGGCGTGCAATGGTGCTTGCCTTGGCCACGTTATCACGGGCGCCATCATCGTCGTCGTCATCTTCATCCTCACAATCCTCCGCCTCCTCCCTATCGCCACGCAGGTTGGCTCTCCACTCCTGCACCCTCTTCTTTGCGTCCTCGCACAATTGCTCTGCTGTCAAGCCCCCGACCCCATCCCTCCAAGGCTTCTTCTTCGGGTCTTCCTTTTCAACCGGCTTCTTCTCAAGCTTGTCCAACAAATGCTGGTTTCATCTGTTGTATGTGCTCAATTGTTCGACGGCGAGGCTGTTGCGCGGTTTGGAGTGAATCCTTTCGAAAAGACTCCAATTCCGCTCACAACCTAAAGCAGACGACCCCTGTCCAAGCAAACGGACTGCCTGGCGTTGCAAGTTCGGCAACTTAGCGCACCACTTTCTCCACCATCTGGCTGGTTGACCGTTGTCTGCCTCTGCGCCCTCTCGCTTCTGAACTTGCCTGTCCCTTCAATCGAGCAATTCACCTCCTCGTCCAACTCCTTGTACTCCGTTGGTTTCGCCCAAGAGTACACCCACGTCCAAAAACCATCCATCACCTAAGGGTCCTTTTCCAAGCTCGAGTCCCTGAACTCGGGATCAAGGAACATTGTTGCGCAATGCAGCGGAGAAGTCATAGTGTTCCACCTCCGCATTATGATCTCCTCGAGCTCTTCCTTCTCCATTTCTGTGAAGCACTCCTCGTTGCGTAAGCTCTCCACAGCCGCGTCCATGCTGCCGTAGATCTTGCTCATCGTCAGTCCAACTCCGTCGGTCCAACTCCGTCGGTCAACCTCAAGAGTTGAAGTAGTTCCTCGGACGTCTTCTGCACCTTCTTGACTCCTGCCCAAAAATCATTGTCGAGAATGGTCTCCATTGCAGCAGCAAACAAATGTCGTTGCCCGGGAAGCACGATGCTATCCTTCCAGTCCTTGTCCATCAAACACGCTTGCAGCGGCAGGTACAAGTCATGCACGCTGTCCAGCATGATGAAATTTGTGGCGAGCCGAGTCGCTCCTGGCCTTGCGAGAATTGCTCCCTGGGAATTGACGAGGAGCAAGTCCCGCACCCTCGAGTGGTTCATAAAAAAACTTCACTACCTCCGCCGACTTCTTCAGAATGACGTCCACCCACCCGATCTTTCCAAACCGCTCGAGCATCAGGTCAATGCTGTGCGTTGTGCACGGCACTGAGAAGGTGTGCTTGAACTCCGCCTCAACCATCCGCCCTGCAGCTGCACAGGTCGCTGCATTGTCCATCACCACCCCACCACTGCCTCCTCCCTGATCTCGCGGATAGCCGTGGACAAAATGTCGAAGTACGCCTTCGCCCCCTTCTCTCGGAGCTGCATACGAACAGCCCGCCAAAAGACGACGCCTTTGGGGAAGGAGACCATCACATTTATGAATGGTCTTCCTCGCCGATCAGTCCACCTGTCGAGTTGCAACATGCAATCGCTGACGGGCCATTCCTTGCCCAGCTGCTCCATCCTCTCGGACACCCGCTTCCGCGTGACAGCCACCCTTTTCGTTCGCGCGTCGTCGAATTTGGCGTACTGGAAGGACTTCGGCGCGTTCATCAGCGCCTTCACTATGTGATCCCAATACATGCTCCGCATCATGTTGAAGGGCACACACTCAGCTGTCATCCAGTCGTCGATTGTACGCTGGGTTTGCTCGTTCGCAGTGATGATAGCTGCGTTGTCAACGATTTTCGTTTGCCTGCCGTGTGTTGTCGAGGACTTGGTGAGAGCAATAGTGGTGACTGCATCCTCGGTGCCGATTTCATCCTCTCTCGAAGATAGATCAAGCTTGGTACCAGCTCCGGTAACTGCACCTCCAAGCTCTGCAATGGCGGCATCTCTTCCTTGCTCCCTCCGTAGCAATTCTTCCTTGCTGATTGTCCCTCTCAATCGTGTGACATTGCAGGCACCTTTCAAGAAATTATCCCTCAAGCGGGAGGCAGTCCCGGTTCTATTTTGGTCGCAGTACTTGCATCTCCACACCTTGTTTCCTTTATCAGCTGCCCCAGATGCTTTCACAGCCTCGAAGTGCTTCTTCTCTGGTTGTGCTGCATGCTTAGTCATGGTGCTGCATCACACATGATGTTCAAAAACCAGTAGCCACTGGAGTCAGAGTCTGAAACTCAGAGTCATCCCTGTCCTCCCCCCCCCCCTACCCTCTACAGCCATTCACTCTCTATCGCCCTCCGTCCCTCAATCAGATTCATTGATTGACTTACTGATTGATTGACTTATTGATAGATTGACTAACTGATTGATTGACTCACTGGTTGATTGACAATAGATTCACCGACGAGCTCCCCCCAAAAAAATCGGACAGCGTTTCACAAAACTTTCACCCTCCATTGAGATACCAAACTCGAATAATCCAAAATTTGAATTCTTTTAATGCTCACCACCCACATCAAACTCGGGTACGGTTGATTGATTGATTGATTGATGGATGGATGGATGGATGGATGGAGGATGGATTGGTCGTGTGACCAATGATTCTGATTGTTTGTTTGATTGATTGATTGATTGATTGATTGATTGGTTGATTGGTTGATTGATCCGTCAATCGACCGATCGATCAATCAATCAATCAATCAATCGATTAATCAATCAACCAATCAATCAATAAGTCAACCGACCGAACCATCAATCAATCAATCAATCAATCAATCTGCACGAAGTCAAGTCAATAGCCAACAAAATCGAGCCAACAGCACGGCTGGTAGTCCTTGAATTCGAGCCAATAGCCCTCAACTGGAGGACGATGGTCCTCAAAGTCGTGCCAATAGTCCACAAAGTCGAGAACGATAGTCAATCAATCAACCGACCGAACCATCAATCAATCAATCAATCAATCAATCAATCAATCAATCAATCATTCAATCGATCAATCAATCAATCAATCAATAAAAATGATAGGAATTAAGCTCTCTCTCAATCAAGAAATCAATCTCCACGAAGTCAAGGCAAAAGCCAACAACATCGAGCCAATAGCACGGCTGGCAGTCCCCGAAGTCGAGCCAATAGCCCTCAAAGTGGAGAACGATAGTCCGCAAAGTGAAGCCAATAGTCCACAAAGTCGAGTAATTTGAGCCGCGCAGAATCCATTGACATCCGAGATCGTACGTAGGGAGGGAGAGACAAGAATCGAAGATCGCAAGTAGGGAGGGAGAGATAGAATCCCAATTTCGCAAGTAGGTAGAGACTCTAGAGAGAGATAAAGGAGGGAGGGAGGGAGAGAGAGACAGAGGAGGGAGGTAGAGAGAGATAGAGGAGGGAGGGAGGGAGAGAGGCCAATCAATCATTCAATCAATCATTCAATCAATCAATCAATCAATCAATCAATCAATTAATCAATCAATCAATCAATCAATCAATCAAATCAATCAATCAATCAATCCATCCATCAATCAATCAATCTCCACGAAGTCAAGCACGGCTGGTAGTCCCCGAAGTCGAGCCAATAGTCCACAAAGTCGAGAACGATAGTCCGCAAAGTCGACAACGATAGTCCGCGAAGTCAAGCCAATAGTCCACAAAATCGAGAACGATAGTCAAGCAATTTGAGCCGCGTAGAATCGATCGACAACACAGATCGTTCGTAGGGAGGAAGAGACAAGAGTCGAAGATCGTAAGTACGGAGGGAGAGAGAGAATCCCAAGTTCGCAAGCAGGTAGAGAGAGACAAAGGAGGGAGGGAGGGAGAGAGACCAATCAATCAATCAATCAATCAATCAATCTCCACGAAGTCAAGCCAATAGCCGAAAACATCGAGCCGATAGCACGGCTGGTAGTCCTTGAAGTCGAGCCAATACTCCGCAAAGTCGAGAACGATAGTCCGCAAAGTCGACAACGATAGTCCGCGAAGTCAAGCCAACAGTCCACAAAGTCGAGAACGATAGTCCACATAGTCGAGCCAATAGTCCACAAAGTCGAGAACGATAGTCATACTAATTTGAGCCGCGCTATCGGCTCGATGTTTTCGGCTAGACAGAAGATCGTATGTAGGGAGGGAGGGAGGGAGGGAGGGACAGAATCGAAGATCGTAAATAGGGAGGGAGAGAGAGAGAGGCCAAGATCGTAAGTAGGGAGGGAGGGAGGGCGAGACAAAGAGAAAGACAATGGAAGATCGTGAGTAGGGAGGGAGAGAGAGAGAGTCCCAAGTTCGCGAGCGGGTAACGACATGCATACAACATCGGAGTGAGAGAGAGATAGTCCAAGATCGCATGTACGGAGAGAGAGAGAGAGAGATAGTCCAAGATCGCATGTACGGAGAGAGAGAGAGAGAGAGAGAGAGAGAGAGAGAGAGAGAGAGAGAGAGAGAGAGAGAGGGCAGAGGGCGGTGGGGAGGGGGGACTGACCTGGATTAGGGCTGCCTCCCCGTCGCGCT